TATGGTAATTTTTTGTTGCCCAGGTCCAGAATGGACTTCCGGAAGTGGCATCCATGCAGAGAACCGGTTGTTCACATATATTGAATCCCACCACTGGTCATGTGATCACCTTTTGCAAGCTTTTGGCAAGCAAAATCAATGGGGAAGCCAGATTCAATTAACAACCATGTTACTAACTTAACAGCTGGAGAGATTCACTTAACACCTGTTGCAAGAAAGGTCATAAAATGGGGCAAAACTCATTTAACAAATGTCTCACTTAACAACTAAAATGTTGCCCTCAAACTGTGGTCGTAAGTCGAGGTTTATACACACCTGCATACATAGATATACACATACAAATACATACATACTTCATGTGTGTGTGTGTGTATACAAACATATATACATACTTATGCTAATGTATGATGTTGAAACTTGCTGTTTATTTTATTGTTGCTTTTCCTTGCACCTTATAATCATAGCCTTGAGGAATGGCACCACTTATTGGCCTTCTTCAACCTGACATCGTCTTGTAAGAAATTCTGAGAACTGCAAGCCAGATAAATTTGGACAGCACTAAACCAGGGAAGTCTCTACTTACTACTACACACTACACACAGAGAGAGAGACCCATGACAGTCTACCACTTGAAAATATTATGTATTGCACAATTTCCATGTCTGCCTAATTTCCCTAATTTGCCTTTTCTTGTTGAAGAATTTGTTTGCATTATGACTGATCTGATCTATTTTTATACTGGCACAGCCTTCTTTTATAAGGCAATTTGCAATTTGTTGAGATAAACGCAGTGATACATTAGCTGGTTTTATTGCTGATCATAATGCTGATTGTAATGTAACTATTTTTTCTAAACATTAAAGCACATTCCTGACAGTTAGAACAATTAATCAGTGGAACAACCTGCCTCCAGAAGCTGTGAATGCTCCAACACTTAAGAAGAGACTGGACAGCCATTTGTCTGAAATGGTATAGGGCTTCCTGCCTGAGCAGGGGGTTGGACTAGATGACCTCCAAGGTTCCTTCCAACTTTATTATGATTATTATTCCAAATCATCCACTTCTCAAGAGACATTTAAGGTCAACATATAAATGTAAAGTGGAATGTAATATCTAGCCTTCTTTTCAATTGTAATATTTCACTGTAACTAAATTAATAACTCTGGATTTGTAGCATTGTCTGCAAATGAAGGATTCTAGCAACAGAAAGTATCCTCCAAACTTGCTCATGATTTGTTCCAAAGAGATGGAAAATGTTCATTAAGTAGGAAATGAACTGGTACACTGTACAACAAACTTAAGCGGCACTGAAGGAGCATACAGTCAAGTAATGCATCACAGACCAGCGCTTGGCAGAGAAGCCACGGAGGCCTTGAAAAATAAATTTATGTATTTATTTATCAAATTCTGAGACGGCCTCTCTTCCTCACAGAATGCCTATACTTCAGGCCATGATATTCCCTGAGACATTCTATGGAAGTGAAAGTTGGACTTTGAAAAAGCAGGACAGGAAGAGTATTGATAGTTTTGAATTTTGGCATTGGAGAAGACCCCTGCCAATACCTTGGACAGCTCAGAAAACAAGCCAATGGATCATCAAACCAATCAACCTAGAACTTTAATTCAAGTCGCAAATGGCCACAATAAAATTATTCTACTTTGGGCACATTATGCAAATACCTAGCTCCCCAGTAGAAGGTTTTAATGCTGGGAAAGGTTGAGGAAAAAAGAAGAGGATGATCATCAGGAAAGGGGATAGATTCAGTTACGGTGGCCAGGGGTACACCGTTAGAAGACCTGAAAGATCAGATTAGGGAAAAATTGTCATGGAAGAAATCTACCTGTTTGCTAAGAATCAACACCAACTTGATGGCGCATGATGGATCAAAGAGAACATGAAGTGGAAAAGAGATGCTGGTGTGTAAATGGAACTCAGCTCATTCAACAGGAATCTCACAACTGATGTATAATAATAATTATAGTAATAAAAACAAGTACCAAAATATTAAGAGTAAAGCAAAGAAAACCTGACTGGTCTCAGAGTATTACAAGGAATACATTAGCTTGCGTGATTCTGATATTTATAGGTAATTGCATCATTGATTTAGATAAAAAATATTGTGAAAAGGATGGTATTATTACCTTTCCAACGAGCCTCTAGATGGTAATATTATTTTCATAATGCACAAATCCCAGACTGACACAACAAAAACAGCCACCTACTGGTCACATGGTGCATAAATGTGATATTAGAACATTTTTGCCCTCAAAGAAGTTATTTTACCTTGCTAACATTTTGTCACTTTCCCCTTTTTGTAAATATCTTCTGTAGGTCTGTATATTCCACTTTTGTTTAACCACTTTAGATAACTCTGGTGCCTTTAACATAATTATTAACTGAATGCTCCAACTAGGACCATTTGTATACACATTTTAAAAAGCCAGTTCTAAAAAGGTATTTGGGGGATCCACTATCTAGATCTATCCATTGTAAGGACACAGTATTTTAGATATTTTTACTGCAAGAGAGAGTTTGGTGAACCCATTTCTTGCATGTGTTACTAAATCTTTTTAGCATTTATTCTATGTCTACTAAATTTTCTTAGTCTACTTTGATGTACATTTTCATTAAAGAATACGCAAAAAAAATACTTCTCATTTGCACTCCAAACGGCACACTCGAAGAACTTAGATCTTTGCAAAAAGTATCTGTTTTGTTAATACCTCTCCTGTTATATAACTTATAATTTTGTACCTACTAATGTTTACCTCCCATTTACCTAGCCTGTGCTTCCTGGAACGTCCTTTGTCTTTTTTGAAATATTGTATTACATTGGCTACTTTCCAATCCTTTAATGTGGCCAGTTCTACAGATAAGTTGCATATTTTAATTCAAAGATCAACATGTTCACATTAGAGCTCCTTAAGATCTCTCAGATGTTTTATTGGGCTACCTACTTATTGCCAGTACTGTCAGCAATCATATCTCCTTTACATAAAAGGTAACTAATGATTAATTAATCTTGATTGGGCAGTTTTTAACAAACTCTATACAAGTTCAGGTAGAATAAGCTAGTATTATACACATTATTGCAAGGCCTATATGCCTTCTAAGCTACCCTTCCTGTACAGTTTCTTAAGTGATTGACTCATTGCTTGATCACATGATCCCAACATGAGAGGAATATTTACATAATTATGAAGTGTTTTTCAATCATGTTATTATTAAACAGCAGGAAATGACAGCAGGAACTCAATCAAGAAAAGGAGTGGGACTATTTGTTTGTGAAATTAACTTCCTATAACACTGTTGTATTTCCCAGGTTGTGTATAATTGCCTTAAGGTCTATGAGGGCCACTCTGAGTGCTTCCACACACCCCATCTTCAACCATAAAAAACAACGAACAATGTTCCTCAAAATAAACAGTATTCTTTCAAATACTGTTCGAAAACATGGTTTACTGATAAGGTTTACAAGTGGCCATATCTGCTTTTTCTTTCGAAAAGCAAGTCCATATATTGAATGATCGTGGTTTGTTTAAACATACTTCATTGAATAATCATAATTGGCTAGGTTTGCCCAATATGCACTATAAACCATGGATGAAGAAGGGCAATAGGTAAGTTCCCATAGTAGACTAAGCCAGATTCAGACAAATCACATTGTGACTTAATGTATGTTATGAACCCAATCCAGAGAGCTTGAACAGGGATGCCTAAGGGGGTCCAAAAAGTCAAGGTGGCAGGCACAACTGGACAATGAAAGCCACATCTCCTTTTCAATATGTGTGCAATGTCATACATACAAAAGAAAATGGCTGACACCTCCACTTTTTTTTTTCCTTACCTCCCCAATACTGAGGGTTACTTTATTGCTTTACTTTATGGTATTCTGCTGATACCATCAAGTCAAGCTTTTAATGTATTAGATTGGATGCTTTTCTATCTGTATTTCTATAGAAAATAATGTATTTAACAATTACAATTAAACAAAATATGAAAACAAAGGTTTATCTATGTGTGAGAGCCACTTTGGCCTACTAGTTAGAGCAGCAGACTAGAAATCAGAAGACTGTGAGTTCTAGTTCCACCTTATACATGAAAGTCGGCTGGGTGATTTGGGGCCAGTCATTTTTTCTAATCCCACAACATCCGGGTCAGGCCACAAGTCATTTGATCATTTCCTCTTACAACGGGCCAGTTGCATCATGTGGAAGCCGCACCCACCCCAGCTCCACCAATGGGAAAAAAGTTGCAATATGTCGCGACACGTCACGTGACATGGTGAGTTTGACACCTGTGTTTTACAACCAATGAATCAATACTTGATTGATTCTGAAAAAATTGCAGACTCTGCACTTGTGGGAAAGCACTAGGAAGGAGAAAATGTGTTTATGTTTGTTTCTTATTTTCCTGAATCCTTATTTCCTTACTTGTCCTGAACATGCATGAACCTGAACATATATAGAATTGTGCTGACTGATATAATGAGAAGCTCTAAATGTTAGAACTGAACAGAGCTCCCAATCCTAAGAATACACTTAACTATTCAAGATAGCTGAGATTTCACATCATGATAAATCATGTCTTATTAAGCCATGATTTGATACGTCCAGGCATAAATTGAAAAAAATTGAACAAACTACATTGTGACTTAGTACACTGTTGAACCATGCTACCATTCTTGGTCATGAATCTTTCCCATCAAGTGAACATCTTTTAAAGGTCTACTTAGCTCTGCAAAGATCTAGTTCTACGTTCTGCCCGCTTCTGCCCCAGGACACTCCCGAACATAAATCCAAATCTTCAGTTCCCTCAGAAGTTCTTCAGTCACTATGAACTTCACCCTTTCCATTCATTTATAACAATGTGTAGGAATGTGGCTGCCTCCCAAAATTGTAGAATGGGCGGTTTCATTGTTCAACAAGCACTGGATGCTCATAGGCAAGTGTTAATCATGATCTTTCAAATTTCACAAGCTTGGAGTTTTACAGTTTTGTATGGGAGAATGATTGCTCAGAGAGACACAGGAAAGTGGAGCAATGACCTCAGAGTAAGGTTGGATGGTGTGGTTAAGAGTCAGATAAACGTCAAGAAAGAGAGAACACACAGCTTAACTAGATATTGCTGCTAGCTGGGTAGGACCATATTTGCAGCTCTGCCAGCAGCAAAGGTGTCTGTTTTTTTAAATACCTTGGTGGGATTATTTCTGCAACTATGTCCACAGTTAACCGCACTTCTTCTAATAGCTACAAGAACCCAGGATTTGAGGTAAGTTTAAAATGTTTTTTGTTGTCGTTCTGGAAAAAGTTCAAATACTTTAACAAAGTTTCAAGGAAGGACTGTCACCTGCTTCGCCCAGGCAACAATTCTTTAATAACAAATAAACTTGCTAAGAAAGAACCTGTCAGTGCAAATGCTCTTTTCTCAAAGACTGAATACAATTATGCCATTGTGAAGAGATATGAGACTTACTGGGCTTTTTTTCCCCCTTCTGGATTATTATATCAACAAATTAGTCCTACTCCTGTTTGACTCGGGAACTGAATTAGTTGCAAGTACAACTTTTAGATACATTCTGAACTTATTTAACCTATTTGGGAGATGGGGGGAGAATCCCAGGCTAGATCACGTTGTATAGATCGTAATGACTGTGGTAGCAGTGTTGGTTGTACAGTGTAATTGTTTTACAACATATATGTAGGTATAATTTGCATTTTTAAGCATCTTGTGCCATTTTACCAGTGTTATCAACACTAATTAGTATTTACTAATAGTATTTAAAGTAGTACCCACAGGGACAGAAAATATTTATATCTAAAATGCTTCATTAGTGTAACTTTCTCAACCTAGCACTTTCCAGGTTGGTTAAATTCCCCAACTTCCTTGGATCTCCCATATCCTCTTGGCACCGAGTTAATTCCTTTCATTTTCAGAGGTGCATAGATTAATCATTAAATTTAAAACAAAGGCTATCAGTCAACACTAATATAAATGTGTTCCAGTTTATTTACCATATTCTAAAAAATAAGTAAAAGAATTCTCAATTTATATCAATCGTCCAGCGGCACTTAGCTGTTTTCTAATGGTCAAAATATCACATAACAGCCCCTGAAAGTTATTATAAAGCTTAACATGGACAGTTGTGGGAAGCAGGTACAGGATTCGCAATCACTTCTCTTTCTCACCTTCTTCCTCCTTTGTGTTTGTTATGAATTATTTCTTAACATCTTCATTCCCACTATTACTCAGGTTGAGTTAGAAGTGCTATTGTAAAAATAACCAGATAGCACAATCACATGCAAGAGGAAGGTTATCAGAGGAATGATGACCTTCCACTGTCCAAAGTTTACATTAACATATAAAAAATTATTTTGAAAAATTATTTGGCAACAATCCAAAGCATCCTGATACTGGTAGTTCTTGGCTTATAAACACAGCTGAGACCAGAATTCCCATCGTAAGTCAGTGCAGTTGTAAATGAGTCATCACATGACCAGATCTGATTGTATGACCAGTTTTACTGTGATAATTAAGTGAATCACTATGGTCAGGGGCAGGCAACCTTGGCTCTTTTATGACTCGTGGATTTCAACTCACAGAATTCCTGAACCAGCCATGCCTATCCCTGATTCCATGGTCATTAAGGAAATCACATAGACATTAAGCAAATCATGTGATTGTCAGTCGAATCTAAGACTGTTAATATGAAGCACCAACATGATGGCACATAATCCATAATTAATCAAAAAATATGTTTGATGACCTCAGGTAATGCCAGATAGCTTACAGGTTCAATCAGTAGCTTATCTGATTTAGAAAATTGAATTATCCATGACTCAGTGGAGTGAAGCCCAGGTAAACATGTTGTGTGAACAAAGCCTATAAATCCCATGTTTCCATAGATCATGAAAGCAGGAATTGAAGCCCAATACATCATGCTATTGGTTAGGGAAGGCAAGTTGATCTGGACCAAAGCCTGCCTATAGCACTGGCATTGTCCCCTTCTGCTATGACTTAATGGCTGTTACACACACCTACACACACACAGAGAGAGAGAGAGAGAGAGAGAGAGAGAGAGAGAGAGAGAGAGAGAGAGAGAGAGAGAGAGGGAGGGAGGCAAGGGAGAACATGGCATCACTCCAGAATCAGTTGGTTTCTGTACTGTGCCTTACTTATGTGGTCTCTGAGTTTGTTTCTTCCCACATAGGCTGTGACAGCTTCAGGCACTGACTGAATCAGGACCCATAGCATCTTCAATCTAATACAAGGTAGAAATGTCTAGTTGGCTACCATCAACATATTGATGAGACTTCATTTTGTGTGGGCACATGACCTCTCCCAGCAGCTTCATGATCATGTTAACTAACCCAGGAGAAGTGATCCCTGTGACATTCCCTACTGAAATACATTCAGATTCAACCTCTCCCCTCCTGCAACCATCCACTTGACTTGCCCACTTAGAAAGGAGAACAGCCGCTACAGAAGAATGCCTCCCTTCAGCCTAGATTTGCAGGAGGCCTAGAAGGATGCTGTGCTCAACAATATGAAAGGCATCTGAGAGGTCAAACAGGACAAGGAGGGTTGTACTTCCACCATTTATCCCTTGTCACAAGTTATCAATGAGAGTGGCCAATACAGTTTCCATCCTATACCCTGACCTGAATCAGGGTATTGCCAGATAATCCATAGAGCTCTCTGCAGTTACACCTAATCATGTTTCCATATTGTACTTCACCTTAATCCAGTTTGATTTTTTTGGTATGTTGATATAACTTAACCTTATGTGTAATCTAGGCCACTATAACTTTCTCAATAGACCACAGCTAAAAGAAATCTTGGCTCACAATAATATGTGAGCCCAACCAACAAAAAGGATTGCAGTCACTGGGCAGATAGGAAGAAGAGTTAAAAGTCGGATAATGAAAATTAAGAATTTGGATCCTGGAAGTCATCCCCTAGCAATCCCAATTACGTTTTATAATTGTGGGTGTTTCCTGGAGTGCATTTCATTATTTATTTAAAAGTATTTGTAACCTGTGCCAGCCTATAGTACCTCAAAAGCAAACTTAAAAAGCTTTCCTTGGGAGGAAAATCTTGTTGAAATAGCAGGTAGTTGTGTATGAAATACAAGCAGAGCAGAGGTCATACTCAGGGGGAGTGTGTTTCAAAGGGAGGGAGCTATCACAGAAAAGGTTTTGTTGTTATTGTTGTTGTTGTTGTTTATATGTTTTTGATGGGTTGGGAATTTTTAACAAGTCTTCCTTAGATTACTAAGTAGGACAGGCAGATTTAATTATGGCAAGATGCTGCTTGATGCATTCCTTTTCTGTGCTGCAAATGGATTTAAAAATGATTTCAGCTTTAGATATCCCTATACAGAATACCCCGCAACCTGACAGAGGTAATGAGAAGTATGAGTCATGATGAAGAGCCCTAGTGGCGCAATAGTTAGAATGTGCACAGCTTGGAGTTCGATCCTCACAGGGCTCAAGGTTGACTCAGCCTTCCATCCTTCCAAGGTCAGTAAAATGAGGACCCAGATTGTTGGGGGCAATATGCTGACTCTATAAACCACTTAGAGAGTGCTGTAAAAGCACTATGGAGTAGTATATAAGTCTAAGTGCTATTGCTATTGCTATGAGTGGCTGACATCAAGGCATCCTCGTCCAGATGTAGTGATCTTTCTTTTAAAGCAGTGTCTGTGGGATGACTGTCATTTTAATTTCACAACCCTGTTGAAATATGCCTAAAGTTAAACTATGAGCTCCACAGTGAAACGGGGACTTCAACCTGGTCCCATTCTATTTCTCTAACCATTATACCACAGTGCAATTCCTATGGCACACCTGGGTGATGCCCAGGTGGGATACATCAGTCTCTGCCTAATTGACCTGTTTTCAAATGTGGAATCTACAACTGGAAGATGAAGAAAGCATTCACACATGCATTTATCACATTTAATCACCATCAACATACTGTAGCAAACTAGATATGGGCCTTCAGACCTCAAGTCATAACTTTTAACTAAGAGAGAACACTAAAAAATGCATTTACTATTCTTCCGCCAGGCACAAGATTGGAATAAAACTCTTTACGATTTTCAAAGAAGCAGTTTGGTGGCACATCAAACTTGGATAGGATAATGGGAACAAATGACCTATGAATCAAAAATATCTCCTCCCATTCTGCTCAGTAAGGTCAGATGAGGAAAAGAAAGTAGAAAAGGTCGTGAACATGCAACAGAACTTTCTTTAGAAGGCAAGAGGAAAACACTCTTTGCAATCTCTTTTGCAAGATGTCCAATTTCATCTCTTTCCTCTGCAAATTTTGTAAGCTTTCCACTTGTAGGAAGTTTTTTTAAAAAAAAAAGGAAAAAGAAATTCATTTACAAGAAAACTAAGAACTTGCATCTTTGTTGCAAAACCAGCTACTGAAAGGAGTAAAAAGAGCTTTTTTCCCCCTTACTTATCTTTAGCAAATTACAGTACTGCGGAGGAGAAAATATCACAGGAAGAAAGTACGGGGTATAATTTATGCTCCTTGCAAAAATAACAGTTTCTGCAGTTTATAGTTGCCTGCCTGAAGTTCAGAGGGTGCAATCGCGTCTTAAACTTTGTGGCATATTAAACTGGTGACTAAAAGTCCAGAACTTGCAGTTTGAGCTCCCATATGACAGAATCAGGACAGGCAGACGAAAGGTGTTGTTTAAACAAACAAACAAAATGAAAACTTTAATGGAATTTAGGAACTGGTTTTTTTTGTGCTTTGCCTCTTTCCTCTATTCCAGGGGTTCTCAACCTTGGCAACTTTTAAGACTTGTGGACTTTAACTCCCAGAATTCCTCAGCCAGCAAAGCTGGCTGAGGAATTCTGGGAGTTGAAGTCCACAAGTCTTAAAAGTTGCCAAGGTTGAGAACCCCTACTCTATTCCCTCAGGGAGCAGAATGTGTATTTATGTCTCTCTGTGTGTAGATCTCTGTTTGTGCATATCCTCCATTTTATCTTCACAACTCCATGAAATGAGTTGAGTAAGTGTCCGAGGACACTCAAAAAGCTTCATGCCTTGGCAGGCATTTGAATCTGGATTTCCCTCAATTCACAAGTTTATTATATAGGTAATGTATGTATATCAAGAAGTTAAATATTTGACCGAGACTGAGGGAGGGTGATTGGCCCAAGGTCACCTAGCTGGGTTCCTAAGACAGGACTGGAACTCATGTTTTCTCAGTTTCAGGCCTGTTGCTTTAACCACTATACCAAACTGGTTCTCATTATTATATTACTAAGATTTAAATTTACCCCTTTGTTGCTTGAGAAGTAAGTTCAACAAACAACTAGCATTATCAGATGGAAAGCAAATTTACAGTCCACAAGTTTGCTTGCATTTTAATACGGTTACGTAAAGATACTTGATTCTGTTTAATACAGATACAAAAATATGTGGCTTTTATTAGCTTTGAAATGTGCCTCTTTGGATTTAGCTAAATAATTTATTAAGCTTAAAAGCCATCTTTTTTATTATTATTTTAAAATGTCAATGTGACCATCCGTAGACAGTAGAGGTCAGCTAAAAAGCAGCATGTGGCCTCCAGTTTTAGCAGAGGCTCCCAGCACCTCTTAAAATGGAAGAAGCACTCTACATTCCTCATAGCACCCCAAGATCCCATTACAAAAATTCAGTGGCAAAATGGCCAATTGTCAACCCCTGACATCATCATTTGGACCCAGTGTTGGATTCTTGCGAGAAGGAATAAAGGGTGGGAATGGAGCTGGAAGATTCTGGAAGGCAAGATATTTCCACTTCCACCTCTAATATTTCAAAGGCTCTACCCCAGAGGCCCCGAATCACATTTCTGCCAGGAACAGTGTGTTTGTGGGATTTAAGGTTGGTGATGGGAAGAGTTTGTTCCCAGATGCCTCCCACTGTTTCCTATCCTTAATTCAGTATATTGAAATAAGCTAAAGTAAAAGGTGAAAAAAAAAATCCAGCAGTGCTTTTTTTCCCCTCTGATCCACTTCACCAAATGGCCTCCTTTGGCCCTCTTGATCCTTGAAAAATTGAAGCTTGGCTCCTCAGACTCTAATGGGTTTCAGATTTTGATTTGTCTGAGCCTTGAACTGTACTCTGATCCATTGTAATGAAGTGACCGATCTAATCTTTACAGTGATTTAAGTTAGAAAATTCATTAATAGATTTCTGCGCATGAACCATGACTGGGAAACTCAAAGGTGCTTTTTTTCCTCCCCAAAAAGCAACTGGGTTGATTTTTTTCCTTGAGGAAGAAGAAGACATTTCACTTCTCATCCAAGAAAATTCATGTATTATGACTGGATGGAAGGACAGGTCCTAACAGGATTGGGGGGGTGGGAATGGAAAGATTATATTTCTTTGCAGTCATCTAGGCATTAGCACTCTGTCTGAGAGCTGTTGAGGCCACTTAGGGGTTTATCTGTGCTTTCAAAGTCACCTGAATGACTCTGAAGGCCTAGATAAACTCCCAAGTGGTTTCAACAACTCTCAGGGAGAGTGCTAATGACCAGATGACTGCAAAAAAATGTAATTCTTCCATTGTCCCCCCCCCCCATCCTGTCAGAACCTATCCTTTAATTCCCCCACAACTGATGAAGCTTCCTCCTCCTCAAGGAAAAAACAGTCCAACTGACTTTTTTTTTTTAAAAAAAAAAACATCTTTGAGACAGCTATGACCTGGATGACTGAAAATCTCCATAGACATGTTTGGGAAAGTTGTCCTGAGACTGGATCAATTGATGGGTTATTTTATTTACAAATGGCAATTTAGCCCAGGCAAGAGATTTAGCCTTTATTGACTCATTACAGTTATGAAGATTCTATATCTATCCAGGATGAACATTAAAGGTATTGTACTAAAATCCATGTTCTTGCTTCCTTGGTCTTGCCTGGCAAAGGACAATTCAGCAGAAACCAGCCAAGCCCGAGTGTTGCTAATTACTAACATGAGTTTGCTCAAAATATAAGGCTACAAATTCTACCTATTTACTTTTCATTCGGTTTCTCCCTGTCCCACCCTCCTTGTCACAATCTGGCTTTGCTTCTCTGTGAGAAATTAGAGGCTGTGCCAAAGTTGTACACATGGAAACAGAAACTAAAAAATGGCCAAGAACTGCACTTAATATTATTTTGTGGGCAGTGATACAGTACAGATCAAACCATACTTTTCTTTCTTTGCTGTTTAACTGTTAAGCTAATGTTAAGATTTTATGATCTCTGTGAGATGGACTAAAATGAAACTTGCAAAATTGTATTTAATCAAAAACACAGTCTGTAAACCATTCAGCAGATAATGAGTTAACTACATGATATGAATTATCCCAATCATTGAAAACCAACAGTCTTCCTTTGTTCAAAGTTGGTTAAGCAGTTTTTATTTGCAATTTTATAGTAAGCCAATCTAAGTGCTTCTCTGATTTCTCAAGATACTAAAAGCTTCCATTACTCACCGGCAGGCAACTCCATTTCCAATGATAGCACAATAATAGTAATTGCCAACTTGGAATTTGCAACTTGAATGTGTCCCCCAGGAAAATAGTCCATAACTATTATGCTCTTCCCTACAGTTTCCCAATATTCATATACACATTGGTTTTTTTGGTGAGGTATTCCAGTCTAATCAGAGCTAAACGTGGGGAATAGGTTTAGCTAAAGTTTTTGTATGAATCCTGCCTCAAACTAGCAACAATCCATGCAACTGACTTTCAGTAATCATTGTGCTGGAAAAATATGGAAATATGTTGGTGCAGAAGAGAGGGGATCCAGGAATCACAAAAAGTGGGAGCATTAGGAGATCTAGAATGCAATTTATCCACTCCTATCCATCTCATTCCAATTTTTGGTTATCACAGAGGTGGGAATGCGATCCCCCTCGCAATATCTCATTCTGTACACACATACCATTAATGGCTTTTGGCTGCCTTTAATTCTCCTTCTTTCTTATGAAGACACCTGTAGGGAATAAGGAAGATGGCCTGAGCAGAGATATGCAGGAACCGCTACCTAAGCAAAAGGGGATGAAACATTTTTAAAGTCCAGAACAAAGAGATAACATTCAGAAACGACTCAGGCAGATGCCTGCCTAATTCACTGAATGATAAAGAATATGAGCTCAATCAGATTTACAAGATTCTGGTATTATGGTCAATCTCCGGAAAAGCCACTGTAGCCTTTATGTGGAGTTGGTTTGCTGGGTTGATCTACCGAGTGGGGCTGACAGCACAGCAGGATGAATGTCACTCCTATTGTCGCTTACGCTAACTTGAAATCTGTTCATCTCAAGTCAAATGTTGTGCCTTGCAGGAAGACACCGATGATTCAAAGACAAATGGTATTGCATTAAGAAACAGGAACTTAGAAAGAAGTAACTCTCTTCATCCTGATGAGGTAAGAGGAAATGACAAGTTTTGTTTGTGTTGGCATTGTGCTGAGCTAAACACACCACAGTTTTCTTTGGCTGTTAGTGTTAAACTACTGTTTAAATCAATAGTTTGGGAACTAGGAAGGCGTCAGAATATGATTTTGGTATAGGGAAGAAAAGTTATACGCATTGGGTAACCAAACCCTACCCTTTCAATTAAACATACCTAAAGATTATTAAGGTAACTGAGATAATGTGGGATGGTGAATAGAGAGCAGACATCTTGAGACACACTGAGAACTAGAAGGCAAGTTTTCCTTGTATCTGGCCCTTGAAGAGGAATCAAGGGAATAAAAACATATGATTAGTAACCCATTTTGCTTTCTCTTCTCCTAGCATGAGACAAATATCAATATTGACAGCAAGCCATATGGAAGCCAACCTGAATCAGAAGAAAACAAGAATCTTGGGTGCAAGGGGTAATATTTTCATTAGGAGTTCTCTACCTATCAATGTCCCTTTTGAGTGAAGTTTTAGTGCATTCAGACACACTGGGTTCAGTTTTCGGCTTCCAAGTTATTTTTGATACGTAAATAACAATCTTCAATCACTCTGTCATACTTTGCTTCTTTTGTAATAAAACATTCCATAGAGGGTTGCGCTAACTTATTGGCATATAATTGTTATTTATTTAAATTATATCCCATCTTTCTTCTAAGACAGAGGACCCCAATCTTTGTGGCTTGGCAGCTCAGCTGGGATGGAAGAGGGGAACTGGGCCATGAGAGTGTAGGCCTGGTGCACGTGCATGCACAAACACAGCCTTTGAGTGGGTGGCAGGCCGGCACGCATGCACATAAGGGCCCGTTGGTATGCCATTCACGCCAGTTGAACTGCATGCGCACCAGCCAGCCACTTGCGCAGCCCAATTCAAAATAGGCCACGGCCCGGGAGTTGGGAACCTCTGTTCTAAGAGCTCAAGATGGCTCACACAAGATTTTTCCATAACAATAATATTTTTGGGTGGTTTGGATTAAGAGATACCTTTTGGAACATCTGAACCCTCCAGGGTTTCTGCTCCTACCCTCCTGATCTTTGGTAAGGCCCTGAAAACTTGGCTCTGCCAGTTGGCTTAAGCCCCAATGGGGTAGTGCCACTCTGGAGGTGCTTGATGGACTAAAAGCAGATCCCACTTCATTCTCTGCACACCTTGTTCCCACCCTCCCCACCTTTTTTGCAATAATTTATAATGTTATTGATATATTCATTTGTATTGTTTATTGATTTTAATTTTGTACACTGCCCAGATTCACCTTGTGGCAAGATTAATTAATTAATTAATTAGGCTGGCCCCAAACTCACTCACTCAGATAGCCAAGGATGGTCTGGAGCCTGATTTCCAACTACTACACAAAGTCTGATCAGACCCTGGTGGATCTTAGGCTTGCTTCATACATGTCACTAAAATCATCATGTGAAAGAGTAGAGTAGAGTAGAGTAGAGTAGAGTAGAATAGAATAGAATAGAATAGAATAGAATAGAATAGAATAGAATAGAATAGAATAGAATAGAGCTGGAAGGGACCTTGGAGGTCTTCTAGTCCAACCCCCTGCTCAAGCAGGAGAACCTATACCATTTCAGACAAGTGACTGTCTAGCCTCTTCTTAAAAATCTCCAGTGATGAAGCGCCCACAATTTCTGGAGGCAAGCTATTCCACTGGGTTAATTGTCCTCACTGTCAGGAGTTTCTCCTTAATTCCAGATTGCTTCTCTCTTTGTTCAGTTTCCAACCATTGTTTCTTGTCCTGCCCTCTGGTGCTTTGGAGAATAACATGACCCCCCTCTTCTTTGTGGCAGCCCCTTAAATACTTTGATTGCTTTTGGCTTCGCATGGTATCTAAAATCAAATTACTATAGTTTGCTCATCTAAACATGTTTGTAAAAACCTTTACTCACTTGAGGAAGACAATGGAAAGAAAATCTAAAATTCCTGTATAACCAATATGTTCTGTTCATTGTTAATTTTAATATATTGGGTAATGCATACTTATCTACTTACAGTACAAAATAATGTGTGTTTAAGTTATCCTGTTTACAGTACTTATTATCTTACATTTTATCCTTCTAGGAAATTTGCAAGGAAATACAATATGGTCCTTCAATTTTGCAGGAAACATAAAACTATAATCCAATACATTATTTATGGAATACTAATTATGGGTAAGTATTATACATTCTGGAAAATAGAAATTTTTTGTAGAATTTTGGGTCTATATATTTTTTTAAGTATGAGACTAATTGCATAAAATAAAATCCATCTCTTGGTTATATGCCGGTCTGATTACTGCAATCTTCTCTGGCCAGAAGGCTATCTTTGAAAAAAGTCTGTAAGCTCTAATTTATGTTAAAACACGTCAGCCAAGGTGTAGACCAGTGCAAGAGATATTGGAATTACACAGTGGCTATTTTGAAAGTTCTGTACTGTTTAACAAATTGCTTTTTGGGACGATTTAATATGTTGGTGTTAAAATTCTTCAATGAATTAAAGCCTGACTACCTGAAGATACATACAGCCAAGTGTCCTGAGCCTGCTAAAGCATTCAGCAGGCTCAGAAATGTTCAAAAGCTGCCCGGGACCAGACTGGCTGTCGCTAACCTTGTGCGCATGCACAAGGCGCAAAAACAGCCAGCTTTTTATTGGCTGACACTGTCCGGGTTCAGAACTCTATAAAAGGCTGCGTGTCTTTTAGTTCTTGCTTGGTTGTAAGGAGAAGATCAATAAAGAGATTACTTGTTCGTCATGTGTCTTCGTCAATTGCCTAAGAACCGGATACATAAAACTATCCTCCAGTCTTATGTTAACAGGAAAGTAGGGCTGCATAAATTGGGCTGTCCTGACTGTTGAGCTTTATTTTGTTTCAGTAATGAAGCTCATAAGCTGTACTCTCTTTATAGTTTTAATGCAGGATATATTAAGAAAATGGATGGATGGATGGATTTCTCTGATTTGGTTTCTCTTCCCACTGACCATCACTTGCCAGCAGAAAAATAACAATTGTTCTCTTAAACATATGGTGGGACAGGGTTAGATAAGTTACAAAGAGCTATTGTGGAAGAGCTTGTCTCCTGGAAACAAGAGTACTCTTATTGTTAAGAGGTTTTCAAGCAAAGTTTGAACAGCATTTCTTGCTGGATATTATGGAGATTCTTCCATTGGACAAAGGATTGAATTAGAAGACTTCCAAGGTCAAGAAATACCTCCTTATTTCAAGTTTGAATCTTTCTCTGTAAAACTTTCATGAAAAATCTTGTATTAGAGAAGAAAGAAACATTACTTTAAAACTGGCAAAATTAAAGACAAATGAGACAATGGCAATGTCATGAGGTCATCTCACCTTGTTTAATTACGGTTAGAGGGACAGGTGGGTAAGGCTTCAGGGACCAACTCTTCTTTTAATACTCTCTCCCACTATTACTATTGAGTGAAATCTTTGTACATTTATTATTTATTTCTTTGATGAGTTTTTGTTGTTGTTGTTTTAGATAATTAGATTGCATTGGAATAGGTGGTGATATCAAAATTGCTTTGACTTAGTTTGTGCTTAGCTTCTTGTAGCAACTATAATTTTCCTGAGGTAAAAGTAAGATTAAGCAGACACTATATCAGTTTCATTAACTGCTGTTATGCCTGCTCGGGTAAAACAGGGTATTTTGCATCTTGCCCCTCCCTCTTCCGTCAGGGAGAATATTGGAAGTCCTTGACTTAAGATGACAACTGAGCCCAAAATTTCCATTGCTAAGCAAGGCAATTGTGAAGTGAGTTTTGTCCCATTTTACAACCTTTTTGCCACAGTTTTAAACAAATCATTGCATTTGTTAAGTGAATTGTGCAGTTGTTAATTGAATTTGGCCTCCCCCATTGATTTTGCTTGTTGAAAGTCAGCTGTGAAGGTTATTAATGGTGATCACATGACCCCAAGACAGCGCGACTGTCATAAATACATGCTGGTTGCCAAGCACCTGAATTTTGATCACATGACTGTGGTGATGCTGCAACAGTTGAAAGTGTGAAAACTGGTCAGTAATCACTTTCTTCAGTGGTGTTGTAACTTCAAACAGTTACTGAAAGTTGGCCTTCCTTGTAGATGCTTTTCCTCCAGTTTGTCAGTCCAAAGCAGAAAGGATGTTGATAATTTGGTCATGATGGGAACAATCATTCTTATTCTGTTCTTCCAAACAAGATGTTTCCCCTTTTGCCCAATTAAAACATACAGTTTTAGGGAAAGGATGAAAAAAATGAACAGTTCTCTCACTCTGATGGATGCGAAGTGTGGCACGCTGGCTGAGGAATTCTGGGAGTTGAAGTCCACAAGTCACAAAAGGGCCAAGTTTAAAGACCCCTGGGTGAGAAGGTATAAAAATGCTAGGTTTTATGTAAGCACCTGTTTTATAAAAACATCTAAGGATTTCCAAAGAGATATACTCAGTACAACATAATATTCATTCATTTCAAAGCATAATCATTTCTTTTTAATTACTGATGATCTGAAAATTGCAGGTAACTGTTGCAATTTTGTTTCAGAAAAAAAAAACAGGAGATGGAGACATTTTGTATGCATTCTGGACAGCTGACATGATCTTTCTTTTTTTCCATTACAGCTTATCTGGCAATGGTGATTGCAGCCTGCATCTTGAATTTTCACAGAGCCTTAGCACTCTTCATCCTCACTCTCCTAGCCATTGTTTTCATCTGTTGGGACTTTTTCATAGCCAGATATGAGGGTAAAATTGCAGAGCTGCTGTCTCCTTTGGAAAAATTTCTAAAAGCTCAGTGGTTTTGGTTGAAATGGTAATTAACCAAGTTTCTTTTTTTAAAAAAGTGAAAATGAGATTATGAAATTGTTTGTGATTTTCAGTACTATATAAATGCTATAAATTATGTTACGTTTCGTCTTAGTTACTAAAAAAACCCAGGACTTTGTGATATTAACTCAGAATAAAACTTCAGTTTTCTTTGTCCTAAAGAAGTACATTTCAGTATCTAAGCAGGGGATGTACTATTAAAATACACATTGCCAATTATTAAAGTAGCTCCCACAGCTATGTTTTTAATAAGAGTTTAGTAATGATTAGCAGATGAAAATGTTTAGCCTAAGGTTAGTTAATGCATTATCAAACTGATCATGTAGGAATAGTATCAAAGCAATCTGGTTTAATTATAGCTATTTAGTAGCCTTTGTAAGGAGGGGGAGACTGAGTAGACTTAAACGTTTATTGAAGCTAAATTATCAGGACAATGAATAATCGTATATTATTGAAAGCTTGTCTTCAGACAAAAATTCCAGTGGTTATTTCATCTGATCATACACTTCTTATTTGGGAGTAGGGGGGACACTCCCAAAAATCTTTCAAACTAAAACAGCTTGAATCGTATCAGGTTTAGCTAGTTATAAGAGCCTAAAGTATAGACTATACTCTTTTATTGGTATTTTAAGGGCATTTGCTTAGTTCTTTGACTTTCTAGAAAAAAAAATGGTACAAAAAAGGTTGTAATATTGAGCGCACAACTTACAATCACAAGTCCAAAAGTTTTGGGATTCCATTACATGCAGTGATGGGTGGAGCTAAAATAAGTGGGGCCAAAAAAGAATGAAACTACTGTTCTTTTGTCTTTCTGGCTAGCCTTTTTTTCCCCCTGCCATTCATTTTACTATTTGGAAATTAAGTTTAGTCCAGTTCTTATAAATCAATCCCCTTAGTCTGCATTTTAATGACAACTAGATGCAGAAGTAAACTCAGAAGTTCGGGTTCTCTCCATTACTGGTAGTCAAGTATCTTACTTACTTACTTACTTACTTACTTACTTTCTTTCTTTCTTTCTTTCTTTCTTTCTTTCTTTCTTTCTTTCTTTCTTTCTTTCTTTCTTTCTTCTCTCTCTCTCAAGCAAAATTACAAACACAATAAAAGAGAAAGAAAACCTGTCATTATTTGTCAGATTTATACTGCCACATTGTTGTTAAGGATACACACAAAAAGAAACAATCCAAAAACTTAAGGAAGTAGAGATTACTTAAATCTCTAATGGCTTTTTACCAGAAATCAGTGTTTATCATCAATTGTTGTCACTGACAACTTCTCCAATTGAAGTCAGTACTTCCTGTTTGACAACTAAAAGTTTGACACCACCCCCTCCCCCATTTTACAGTCCAAGGCCAACAGAAGTTGGTTATCAAGTATTCAATGGGACGCAATATGTGGCTAGTGTGTTTTTAGCAATAAATAGTTGTGAGGATGTCTGTATTGGAATAGCCTATATTGGGGGTGGGGGGAGAGATACAGTCTAAAACAAGGTGATGATTTTTCCCATAAGTCATTCATTGCAGTGTTTGAATCCCTTTTCTCTAGGGTAGTGTGGATCATCTTAATAGTTGCTGGTGTGTGTTGGTTAATTTTTGATACTGCCAAGCAAGGGACCAACCAGCTCATTTCCTTTGGTGGACTTATTATGTATATTCTCTTGATGCTGATCTTCTCTAAGTACCCAACTAAAGTGAGTATGTTTACAATCTTTTATTTATATTTATCATTTATCACATTTAATGTGTATTTGCAACACACTGAGTAGATGCCTGATAGCATCGCATATTCACTGTCTTTTATTTGAATGTTTGTTTTACACAGTTCAGCCTTTGATTTCTATATTCATTTATATCCTGCCTTTATTATTTTTATAAATAACTCAAGGTGATAAACATATCCGGCACATCTTCCTCCTCCTATTTTCCCCACAATGGTTGTGGTGAATTGTGCTGAGAGAGAATGACTGGCCCAGGTCACCGAACTACACACTCTCACCAATGTACTAACATCCAATGGATTCCATAGAAATAAGATTACAAACCTAATCCAAAAAGAAACCCCCACTAAAATCCAAGACAAAGAACAAGAAAACGGCAAAGCCATCCTCCCATACATAAAAGGCATCACAGACAGAATCAGTAAGATCCTCCATAAACACAACCTCAAAACAGCATTCTGCACAAACAGAAAAATATCCACCATCCTTAGAAACCCCAAAGATAAAATTGAATTAGAAAATCAAGGAGTATACGAAATCCCATGCACCACTTGTCCCACCACATACATCGGACAAACCAACAGAAGACTAAGTGCACGCATTGAAGAACATAAGAACTCAGTCAAAAAAGAGGAACCAACATCTTCCCTGGTCCAACACCTTAAAGCCACAGGACATACAATTGACTTTAAAAATACCAGAACCATTGCCAAAAGTGAACATTTTAATAACAGAATAATCAGAGAAGCCAACGAGATAGAAAAACGCCCACACAGCATGAAAACAGCTAGATGATACTCCCGCCTACCCAGCCATTGGACAACCCGCCGCTCATTGACAAACGACTCCCTAAAACAAAACATGATACCAGACCCACACGCACAAAAACCACAACAGGATGTCAAAACCAAACCCCCAATCACGAAAAAAACAAACCCAAGCCACATGACTATGAGGCACGACCACAAACCAGAAGCCAGACCACAGCTGCATCATTAGCCACTTTAAACCCCCCAAATCCATACATGAAGCAAACTGACACCCTCCATGAAGAGGAAGCACGACCACGAACGCGAAGCCAAGGAATGGCAGGGCAGCCCAAAATCTTGAATCCCTATGCAACTCAGACTAACCTGAGCACAACCAAACAGAACACTCCCCCAGCCAATCAGAGCACAGCCAACCCCTCAGCCAATCAGAGCACAGCCAAACCCCCAGCCAATCAGAGCACAGCCAAGCCCCTAACCATTCAGAACACAACTCCACCCAATCAGAACACAGCCAAGCTCCCACCCAATCAGTTCATACCCCCACTGGCAGTTAAAAGGAAGAAACAGCTAAGACCACACATTGCTGCTCAAAGCACGAAGCTGAAAACACCAGCCTGAAGATGACGAATGGGACTTCGTCGAAACATTGCCAAGACACTTCAATTTTACGCGGGAGAAAACCCGAACAACCAAAGACCTACATACAAATACCCGCGAAAACCTCAGAAAAAATATATATATATATATATATATATCTATTTGTTTTCTGAGGTTTTCGCGGGTATTTCGTATGTAGGTCTTTGGTTGGTCGGGTTTTCTCCCGCGTAAAATTGGAAGTGTCTTGGCAACGTTTCGACGAAGTCTCATTCGTCATCTTCAGGCTGGTGCTTTCAGCTTCGTACTTTGAGCAGCAATGTGTGGTCTTAGCTGTTTCTTCCTTTTAACTGCCAGTGGGGATATGAACTGATGGGGTGGGAGCTTGGCTGTGTTCTGATTGGGTGGAGGTGTGTTCTGATTGGTTAGGGGCTTGGCTGTGCTTTGATTGGCTGGGGGGTTGGCAGCCTGTGCTCTGATTGGTGGGGGGGTTGGCTTGTGCCCTGATTGGATGGGGGAGTGTCTCTGTTTGGTTGTTGTGCTCAGGTTAGTCTGAGTTGCAGAGGGATTCAAGAGTTTGGGCTGCCCTGCCATTCCTTGGCTTCGCGTTCGTGGTCGTGCTTCCTCTTCATGGAGGGTGTCAGTTTGCTTCATGTATGGATTGGGGGGGTTTAAAGTGGCTAATGATGCAGCTGTGTTCTGGCTTCTGGTTTGTGGTCGTGCCTCATAGTCAGTGTGGCTTTGGGTTTGTTTTTTGCGTGGATGTTTGGTGGTGACCTCCTGTGTGGTTTTTGTGAGTGTGGGTCTTGTATCATTTTTTGTGTTAGGGAGTCGTTTGTCAATGAGGGCGGGTTTCCAAATGGCTGGTAGGCGGGAGGTATCATCTCGCTTGTTCATGCTGTGTGGGCGTTTTTCTATCTCGATGGCTTCTCTGATTATTCTGTTATTAAACTGTTCACTTTTGGCAATGGTTCTGGTATTTTTAAAGTCAATTTCATGTCCTGTAGCTTTAAGGTGTTGGACCAGGGAAGATGTTGGTTCCTCTTTTTTGATTGAGTTCTTATGTTCTTCAATGCGTGCACTTATTATTCTGTTGGTTTGTCCGATGTATGTGGTGGGACAAGTGGTGCATGGGATTTCGTATACTCCTTGATTTTCTAATTCAATTTTTATCTTGGCTGTTCTAAGGATGGGGATATTTTTCTGTTTGTGCAGAATGCTGTTTTGATGGTGTGTTTATGGAGGATCTTACTGCTTCTGTCTGTGGTGCCTTTTATGTATGGGAGGAGGGCTTTGCCGTTTTCTTGTTCTTTGTCTTGGATTTTAGTGGGGGTTTCTTTTTGGATTAGGTTTTTAATCTTATTTCTATGGAATCCATTGGATGTTAGTACATTGGTGAGAGTGTGTAGTTCGGGTTTTAGGTGTTGTTCGTCAGCTAAGCGTTTTGTTCTGGAGATGAGTGTCTTGGCTACAGAGTTGATCTGTGCTGGGTGGTGGTGTTAGAGAGCGTGCAGATAGCGGTTTGTGTGTGTTTTCTTCTGGTAGATGGTGTGTCCTAGGGAGCCATTGGATTTCTTGTAGACTAAGACATCCAGGAAGGGAAGTTGGTTGTTAGTTTCTGTTTCCATGGTGAACTGTATTTTGGGGTGTAGGCTGTTGAGGTGTGTGAGGAAGTTGTCCAGTTTTTTCTTTCCCATGTGGCCAGATTATGAAGGTGTCGTCTACGTATCTGAGCCAGAGTTTGGGTTTATGATCCAATTTTTCTAGAGCTTGGTTTCAAAGTGTTCCATGTAGAGGTTTGCAATGACAGGTGAGAGGGGTGATCCCATGGGTGCTCCTTCTGTTTGTTTGTATTTTTGTCCATTATAGATGAAGTATTTGTTGGATAGGCAGTGGTTGGTCAGATCTAAGATGTGTTTGGGGGGGTTATATTTGTTTTGAATAGCTGTCAAGGCTTCTTTGATAGGCACTTGGGTGAAGAGGGATATGACATCGAAGCTCACTAGTAGGTCGCTGGGCTGTAAGTTTTGTTTCTTTATGATCTCTATAAACTGGAATGAGTTTTTACGTGTGAGGTGATGGATTCTGCATAGGGCTGTAGTTGTTTGGCGAGAAATTTGGCTAGGTTTTGTAGAGGTGAGCCTATGGAGCTGAATATAGGTCTGAGTGGGGTTCCTTCTTTGTGTATCTTGGGGAGACCATAGAGTTTAGGGCATCTGGATGATTTCTCTCTAGGAATGATTCTTTGCTGGATCTCTTCGCTAAGGGGGGAGGCTTTTATCTTGGTTCTGGTGGTTTTTTCCAGGTAGGTGGTGGGATCTGTATTTAGGGGTTTGTATGTGGAGTCTTGGAGTAGGTTGGTTAATTTGGTTGGTAGTCAGATGTGTTCATAACCACCGTGGCGTTGCCCTTGTCTGCTGGTAGGATTATTATGCTGGTGTCTTCTTTCAGGTTACGTAGTGCTGTCTGTTCCTCTTTGGGTAAGTTGCTTTTGGCTTGCTGGTGCAGAGGATGTTGGTGATTTCGAGTCTGATTCTGTTGGCGTCGTCGGGGTTGATTTTAGTCAGGCTGGTTTCAACTCCACATATAATGGTTTCAGTGGGGATGTGTTGGGGAGCGACTGCAAAGTTGAATCCTTTGGAAAGGACATTGGTTTCGGATTTGGTGAGGATCCTATCTGAGATGTTATGCACTGTCTGCTTTCATGTGTGGCTGTGAGGGAGGAGGGGTTTGTTTCTGGCGTTCTTGTAGTCTTCGGAGTTTGTTGGTGTGTGTATCTGTCTTGAGGGTGGTCTGTGTTTCGGCTCTCAGAGGAAGTTGTTTGGATTTTCCCAAAAAGTGCGGGGTGGATCTTGTTGCTGAGCTTGAGTTGGAGTTGTGAGGAGATCTTTGTTAATTCGGTACGAGGAATCTTTGTGTGGAGTTATACTTTTGATTAGGGCAATTCTGTTCTTTTCAGGAATCCGGTTTGGTGGCTGCAGAGTTGGAGTGGAATTTCAGTTATGGAAAAAACGTTGGGATTGATTTTGACTCGGCAGTGCGTAGGAATGCGATGGGTCGCATAAAATGGAAAGCTCTTTGGACTTCAAGTTTTTCATAAGGTCCTGTCAGATGGTGGATTTCTCACCGTAGAGGTCAATATTTGTTTTCTGAGGTTTTGCGGGTATTTGTATGTAGGTACTTTGGTTGTTCGGGTTTTCTCCCGCTTAAAATTGGAAGTGTCTTGGCAACGTTTCGACGAAGTCACATTCGTCATCTTCAGGCTGGTGTTTTTAGCTTCTTGCTTTGAGCAGCAATGTGTGGTTTTAGCTGTTTCGTCCTTTTAACTGCCAGTGAGGGTATGAACTGATTGGATGGGAGCTTGGCTGTGTTCTGATTGGGTGGAGGTGTGTTCTGAATGGTTAGGGGCTGTAGGCTTGTGACATGATGGCCTGGGGGGTGGCGTGCTTGATTGGCTGGGGGTGGTTGGCTGTGCTCTGATTGGCTGGGGGAGTGTTCTGTTTGGTTGTGCTCAAGTTAGTCTGAGTTGCAGAGGGGTTTGAGATTTTGGGCTGCCTTGCTATTTTTTGGCTTCGCGTTCGTAGTCGTGCTTCCTCTTCATGGAGGGTGTCAGTTTGCTTCATGTATGGATTGGGGGGGTTTTTAAGTGGCTAATGATGCAGCTGTGGTCGGGCTTCTGGTTTGTGGTCGTGCCTCATAGTCAGTGTGGCTTTGGGTTTGTTTTTTGCGTGGGTGTTTGGTGGTGACCTCCTGTGTGGTTTTTGTGAGTGTGGGTCTGGTATCATTTTTTGTGTTAGGGAGTCGTTTGTCAATAAGGGCGGGTTCCAAATGGCTGGTAGGCGGGAGGTATCATCTCGCTTGTTCATGCTGTGTGGGCGTTTTTCTATCTCGATGGCTTCTCTGATTATTCTGTTATTAAAATGTTCACTTTTGGCAATGGTTCTGGTATTTTTAAAGTCAATTTCATGTCCTGTAGCTTTAAGGTGTTGGAACAGGGAAGATGTTGGTTCCTCTTTTTTGACTGAGTTCTTATGTTCTTCAATGCGTGCACTTATTCTTCTGTTGGTTTGTCCGATGTATGTGGTGGGACAAGTGGTGCATGGGATTTCGTATACTCCTTGATTTTCTAATTCAATTTTATATTTGGGGTTTCTAAGGATGGTGGATATTTTTATGTTTGTGCAGAATGCTGTTTTGATGTTGTGTTTATGGAGGATCTTACTGATTCTGTCTGTGATGCCTTTTATGTATGGGAGGATGGCTTTGCCGTTTTCTTGTTCTTTGTCTTGGATTTTAGTGGGGGTTTCTTTTGATAGGTTTGTAATCTTATTTCTATGGAATCCATTGGATGTTAGCATTGGTGAGAGTGTGTAGTTCGGGGTTTTAGGTGTTGTTCGTCAGCTAAGCGTTTTGTTCTGGAGATGAGTGTCTTGGCTACAGAGTTGATCTGTGCTGGGTGGTGGTGTGAGAGAGCTTGCAGATAGCGGTTTGTGTGTGTTTTCTTCTGGTAGATGGTGTGTCCTAGGGAGCCATTGGATTTCTTGTAGACTAAGACATCAGGAAGGGAAGTTGGTTGTTAGCTTCTGTTTCCATGGTGAACTGTATTTTGGGGTGTAGGCTGTTGAGGTGTGTGAGGAAGTTGTCCAGTTTTTCTTTCCCATGTGGCAGATTATGAAGGTGTCGTCTACATATCTGAGTCAGAGTTTGGGTTTGTGATCCGATTTTTCTAGAGCTTGGGTTTCAAAGTGTTCCATGTAGAGGTTGGCAATGACAGGTGAGAGGTGAAACATGGGTGCTCCTTCTGTTGTTGCATTTTTTGTCCATATAGATGAAGATTGTGGATAGCAGTGGTTGCAGATCTCTAAGATGTGTTTGGGGGAGTTATATTGTTTTGGAAGCTGTCAAGGCTATTGATAGGCACTTGTGGAAGAGGGATATGACCATCGAAGCACTAGTAGGTCGCTGGGCTTAAGTTTTTTTGCTTAGATCTCGATAAAATGGAATGAGTTTTTTACGTGGTGAGTAATGGATCCGATAGGATGTAGTTGTATGTCGAGAAATGGGCTAGGTTTTGTAGAGGTGAGCCTATGGAGCTGACTATAGGTCTGAGTGGGGTTCCTTCCTTGTGTATCTTGGGGAGACCATAGAGTTTGGGGCATCTGAATGATTTCTCTCTGGTAATGATTCTTTGCTGGATCTCTTCGCTAATGGGGGAGGCTTTTATTTTGGATCTGGTGGTTTTTTCCAGGTAGGTGGTGGGATCTGTATTTAGGGTTTTGTATGTGGAGTCTTGGAGTAGGTGGGTTAATTTGGTTTGGTAGTCAGATGTGTTCATAACCACCGTGGCGTTGCCCTTGTCTGCTGGTAGGATTATTATGCTGGTGTCTTCTTTAAGGATACGTAGTGCTGTCTGTTCCTCTTTGGGTAAGTTGCTTTTGGGTGGCTTGCTGGTGCAGAGGAGGTTGGTGATTTCGAGTCTGATTCTGTTGGCGTCGTCGGGGTGATTTGGTCAGTCTGGTTTCAACTCTACATATAATGGTTTCAGTGGGGATGTGTTTGGGAGCGACTGCAAAGTTGAATCTTTTGGAAAGGACATTGGTTTTGGCTTTGGTGAAGATCCTATCTGAGATGTTATGCACTGTTTGTTTCATGTGTGGCTGTGAGGGAGGAGGGTTTTGTTTCTGGCGTTCTTGTAGTCTTCGGAGTTTGTTGGTGTGTGTGTCTGTCTTGAGGGTGGTCTGTGTTTCGGCTCTCCAGACGGCGAGTTGTTTGGATTTGTCCCAAAGTGCGGGGTGGATCTTGTTGCTGAGTTGAGGTGGAGTGTGAGGAGATCTTTGTTAATTCGGTCTAGGAGGAATCTTTTTGTGTGAAGTTCATTTCTGATTAGGGCCAATTCTGTTCTTTTCAGGATCCGTTTGGTGGCTGCAGAGTTGGAGTGGAATTTCAGTTGGAAACATGTGGGGATTAGATTGTGATCTCGGCAGTTGCGTAGGAATGTGAGGTCGCATAAAATGGAAGCTCTTTGGACTTCAAGTTTTTCATAGGTCCTGGTCAGATGGTGGATTTCCTCCCCGTAGAGGTTCGATATTTGTTTTCTGAGGTTTTCGCGGGTATTTGTAGATAGGTCTTTGGTTGTTCGGGTTTTCTCCCGCGTAAAATTGGAAGTGTCTTGGCAACGTTTCGACGAAGTCACATTCGTCATCTTCAGGCTGGTGTTTTTAGCTTCTTGCTTTGAGCAGCAATGTGTGGTTTTAGCTGTTTCTTCATTTTAACTGCCAGTGAGGGTATGAACTGATTGGATGGGAGCTTGGCTGAGTTCTGATTGGGTGGAGGTGTGTTCTGAATGGTTAGGGGCTTGGCTGTGCTCTGATTGGCTGGGGGAGTGTTCTGTTTGGTTGTGCTCAGGTAGTCTGAGTTGCAGAGGGGTTTAAGATTTTGGGGTTAGGGAGTCGTTTGTCAATAAGGGCAGGTTTCCAAATGGCTGGTAGGCGGGAGGTATCATCTCGCTTGTTAATGCTGTGTGGGCGTTTTTATATCTCGATGGCTTCTCTGATTATTCTGTATAAAATGTTCACTTCTTGGCAATGGTTCTGGTATTTTAAAGTCAATTTCGTGTCTGTGGCTTTAACGGTGTGGTGAGCCAGGGAAGATGTTGGTTCCTCTTTTTTGACCTGAGTCATGTTCTTCCAATGCGTGCACTTTGATCGTCTGTTGGTTTGCCCGATGTATGTGGTGAGACAAGTGGTGCAGGGATCTTCGTTATACTCCTTGATTTTCTAATTCAAGTTTATCTTTTGGGGTTTCTACGGATGGCGGATATTTTATGTTTTGCAGAATGCCTGTTGAGGTTGTGTTTATGAAGGATCTTACTGATTCTGTCTGTGGTGCCTTTTCATGTATGGGGTAGGAGGGCTATTGCCGTTTTCTTGTCTTTGTCTTGGATTTTGGTGGCGGGTTTCTTTTTGGATTCGGTTTGTAATCTTATTTCTATGGAATCCATTGGATGTTAGTACATTGGTGAGGGTGTGTAGTTCGGGTTTTAGGTGTTGTTCGTCAGCTAAGCGTTTTGTTCTGGAGATGAGTGTCTTGGCTACAGAGTTGATCTGTGCTGGGTGGTGGTGTGAGAGAGCGTGCAGATAGCGGTTTGTGTGTGTTTTCTTCTGGTATATGGTGTGTCCTAGGGAGCCATTGGATTTCTTGTAGACTAAGACATCCAGGAAGGGAAGTTGGTTTTTAGCTTCTTTTTCCATGGTGAACTGTATTTTGGGGTGTAGGCTGTTGAGGTGTGTGAGGAAGTTGTCCAGTTTTTCTTTCCCATGTGGCCAGATTATGAAGGTGTCATCTACGTATCTGAGCCAGAGTTTGGGTTTGTGATCCGATTTTTCTAGAGCCTGGGTTTCAAAGTGTTCCATGTAGAGGTTTGCAAAGACAGGTGAGAGGGGTGATCCCATGGGTGCTCCTTCTGTTTGTTTGTATTTTTGTCCATTATAGATGAAGTATGTGTTGGATAGGCAGTGGTTGGTCAGATCTAAGATGTGTTTTGGGGGGGTTATATTTGTTTTGGATAGCTGTCAAGGCTTCTTTGATAGGCCATTGGGTGAAGAGGGATATGACATCGAAGCTCACGAGTAGGTCGCTGGGCTGTAGGTTTTGTTTCTTTATAATCTCTATAAACTGGAATGAGTTTTTACGTGTGAGGTGATGGATTCAGCATAGGGCTATAATTGTTTGGCGAGAAATTTGGCTAGGTTTTGTAGAGGTGAGCCTATGGAGCTGACTATGGGTCTAAGTGGGGTTCCTTCTTTGTGTATCTTGGGGAGACCATAGAGTTAGGGCATCTGGATGATTTCTCTCTGGGAATGATTCTTTGCTGGATCTCTTCGCTAATGGGGGAGGCTTTTATTTTGGTTCTGGTGGTTTTTTTCCAGGTAGGTGGTGGGATCTGTATTTAGGGGTTTGTATGTGGAGTCTTGGAGTAGGTTGGTTAATTTGGTTTGGTAGTCAGATGTGTTCATAACCACCGTGGCGTTGCCCTTGTCTGCTGGTAGGATTATTATGCTGGTGTCTTCTTTCAGTTTACGTAGTGCTGTCTGTTCCTCTTTGGGTAAGTTGCTTTTGGGTGGCTTGCTGGTGCAGAGGATGTTGGTGATTTTGAGTCTGATTTTGTAGCGTCATCGGGGTTGATTTTTGGCCAGGATGGTTTCAACTCCACATATAATGGTTGGGGACTTTCAGTGGGGATGTGTTTGGGAGCGACTGCAAAGTTGAATCCTTTGGAAAAGGACATTGGTTTCGCTTTGGTGAGGATCCTATCTGAAGCTGTATGCACTGTTTGTTTTCATGTGTGGCTGTCGAGGGAGGGGGTTTGTTTCTGGCGTCTTGTAGTCTTCGGAGTTTTTTGTGTGTGATCTTTCTTGAGGGTGCTCTGTGTTTCGGCTCTCCAGACGGCGAGTGTTTGGATTGTCCCAAGTGCCAGGGGTGGATCTTGTTGCTGAGTTTGAGGTGGATTTTTGAGTGATGAGGAGATGCTTGTTATTCGGTCTAGGAGGAATCTTTTTGTGTGAAGTTCATTTCTGTTAGGGCCAATTCTGTTTTCTTTTCAGGATCCGTTTGGTGGCTGCAGAGTTGGAGTGGAATTTCAGTTGGAAACATGTGGGGATTAGATTTTGATCTCGGCAGTTACGTAGGAATGCGAGGTCACATAAAATGTAAGCTCTTTGGACTTCAAGTTTTTCATAGGTCCTGGTCAGATGGTGGATTTCCTCCCCGGAGAGGTTCGATATTTGTTTTCTGAGGTTTTCGCGGGTATTTGTATATAGGTCTTTGGTTGTTCGGGTTTTCTCCCGCGTAAAATTGGAAGTGTCTTGGCAACGTTTCGACGAAGTCACATTCGTCATCTTCAGGCTCGTGTTTTTAGCTTCTTGCTTTGAGCAGCAATGTGTGGTTTTAGATTAACTGTTTTCTTAGATCAAAATCTAATCCCCACATGTTTCCAACTGAAATTCCACTCCAACTCTGCAGCCACCAAACGCATCCTGAAAAGAACAGAATTGGCCCTAATCAGAAATGAACGTCACACAAAAAGATTCCTCCTAGACCGAATTAACAAAGATCTCCTCACACTCCACCTCAAACTCAGCAACAAGATCCACCCCGCACTTTGGGACAAATCCAAACAACTCGCTGTCTGGAGAGCCGAAACAAAGACCACCCTCAAGACACACACACACACACCAACAAACTCCAAAGACTACAAGAACGCCAGAAACAAACCCCTCCTCCCTCACAGCCACACATGAAACAAACAGTGCATAACATCTCAGATAGGATCCTCACCAAAGCCGAAACCAATGTCCTTTCAAAAGGATTCAACTTTGCAGTCGCTCCCAAACACATCCCCACTGAAACCATTATATGTGAAGTTGAAACCAGCCTGACCAAAATCAACCCCGATGACGCTAACAAAATCAGACTCAAAATCACCAACATCCTCTGCACCAGCAAGCCACCCAAAAGCAACTTACCCAAAGAGGAACAGACAGCACAACGTAACCTGAAAGAAGACACCAGCATAATAATCCTACCAGCAGACAAGGGCAACGCCACGGTGGTTATGAACACATCTGACTACCAAACCAAATTAACCAACATACTCCAAGACTCCACATACAAACCCCTAAATACAGATCCCACCACCTACCTGGAAAAAACCACAAGAACCAAGATAAAAGCCTCCCCCATTAGCGAAGAGATCCAGCAAAGAATCATTCCCAGAGAGAAATCATCCAGATGCCCTAAACTCTATGGTCTCCCCAAGATACACAAAGAAGGAACCCCACTCAGAC